GGAGGGTTAATGATAATAACAACTTATTAATAGAACGAAAAAATTCAGATGACTCTTCCACTTAGCAAATCTTGTAAAAGATTTAAAAATAAGTTTTAATATTAAAAAACAAATGCTCCTCATATGCATTCTAATAATGCTATTAAAAAACATATGCTTCTCATATATATTCTGAGAGCAACTTTAAATAAGGAGTAATTTAGCATAGAATCGGTACTGCATTGGATCGAGAGTTTTTCTACTGGCTTAAGTTCGACACTGCGTAACATCGCAGCTTCTGTGGTGACACAGGGTCAACGCTGAAGCGTATCGACAAGTTCTCTACTTGCACAGGACCTACACTGCTACCATCGACAGCTTGTCTGTCAGCACAACACGGGCATTGCGCAGCATCGATAGCTTCTCTGCTCCAACACATTATCGTCTCAGCGCAGCATCGGCAGCTTCTCTGCTAGTCACTACGTAATACTAGCAGCTTCTCTACTAGCACAGGACTGAACAATTTTTCTTCCATGGACAAACATTTACCTCAATACACTGATTAATTACATTAGTTCATAGTTAAAAGATTGTCATCTAGAAGTCATTTTTCAGTAGGATGGCGTGTCACTACGGTGGGCATTGTGTGTTCGCAGTTTTCTCGACAGACTATTTCTCAGGATGTTGATCAGAAGGGATGGACCTATTTCCCTAGAACGTTGATTAGCAGGGATGGACCTATTTCCCTAGAACGTTGATTAGCAGGGATGGACCCATTGCACGGCCACCATGACCTCTTTGGACTTCTTTCTCAGGAGCTATGTAAAATATACTGTTTATCATTCGAAAGTCTTGAACACTGTGGACCTAAAGACCAGAATCAGCACTGTCATTACAATCACCGATCATGCCATATTGCCTCGTACATAGATAGAACTGGGATATCGGCTTGATATTTTGCATGCAGTCAGTGGTGAATATGTACAGATTGTGTAATTTGCCTTGCTTGTCAAAAAATTCTGAACCTTACTTGTGAAATTGTGACCAGCTATAAGGATATAAGTTATTCCATTCCTAAACAACAAACTTAAAATTCTTTGGGGACTTTATAAACACCCTGTACACACAAATTACATAGCAAAAACATTTGGAAAGTGATACAAACAGAAAAATAAGGTTTGAGACGTGAGACTTAATAGCACCCCTGGTACTAAAAAAAACATTGTAATACAGAGGGTGTTTACAAATGTTTAGAACGATTTCGGGGTTTCTAATTAATGCTTAAAATGTAAAGTGCATTTTTTGAAATATTCGATTTGATAATATTTATTCTGGATTATAAGTCTGCATTGTGATTTCAATAACAGAAGGACCTTTTATTAAATTTCTAAAGATACTGATTTCCTTTCTTCTATGCAATACCTGTATAAGTCTTCATTTTTTCAAGGAATGCACTGGTGTAACCTTTCTTCTATAAACTCAAACACCAAGCTGGTTTAAAAGTGTTTACTAACAAAGCGCAGGAACAGTTATAAAGAAAATATACATCAAAGCAAAAATACCCTAAATCGGAGCACCTTAACATTTAGAATTAATATTTGAGTCACAAAGACATAATACTATTCAACCTATATTCATTGCTGTTGGAGGTCGACTGCCTTAAGTTGTTCTCATTGCCACTAGATGGCTCCAAATATCTAGTTGTAACGAAAGTTTCCCGCCAAAAAACTTTTTTAATCAAGTTAGGAAAAAAACATGAAAATAGTATCTTTAGTGCAGGTAGTAATTACCACATAAATCTACAATTTTCTGCCAATGTTTTGATCATTTTTCAAAGCCTTGGGCCCAGAAACTTGGTGGCCGCCATTCTGTAAACAGATCAATCTCACATCGGACGTCCTGTAAGTAGCACCAGCAAGATGTAGCTGCAGGTGTGAAAAATGGTGGAAATCTGAAGGAATGATGTCGGGGCTACATGGTGGGTGTGGCAAAAGATTTCATTCAAGTCCGTAGAGTTCAGCTGGTGAATGCAGACACATGTGGTCTTGCATTATCTTGATGGAGCACTACCTTTTTGTGCTGCAACTCACTTTGATGTTTTTCCTTAATCAGCGTCAACACGTACTAGCATCTCACTGTACACTTTACTGCCGAGGGTTTTACCTTTTCCAGGTACTCTTTGTGGAGAATACCACAGCAATGACACCAGATACAAAGCATGATCTTTTTGTTAATCGAACTGCATTTTGCGACACTGCCGAGAGGTACAGACCAGCCCCATTTCCGGGGTGTGTTGTTAAAGTAAATCAACTTTTCATCACAAGTGATGATGTGGTCCAGAATTTTGTCCTTCCAACGATATCCCAGCAGATTAGTGCAGGCCCGAACACATCTGTTCTTATCTACTTTAGTCAGCTTATGCGGTGATTGAACTTGTACGTCAAGTTTATGCGATGCATAGCTCGATTAATGGACATGATATTAACGTCTAACTCCTAAGCAAGCTCTCGAGTGGTTGCATACTGTTCTTTTTCCACTAGTTCTCGCAGCAGGGCCTCATCAACATCAGTAGGCTAGCCAGAGCTCTCTGCTTCTTGAATGCCATAGTCCTTGTTTTTTGAACCTTCACAGTGTTATACGATACAGCATTAGTACCTACAGCTGAACACATGATTTGGAGACATTCTGTAGCTGACTTTATTTTCACCTTGTTCCATACACACTGGTAATAATTAAACATGCTTTTAAGAGCATGTTTCTCATGAAATCATTGAGAGGGATCTATCTATCTCAGCCAGTGTATATGGAATCATTACCAGTGTATATGGAACAAGGTGAAAATAAAGTCAGCTACAGAATGTCTCCAAATCATGTGTTCATGCTTTTAAAACTATGTTTAATTTAAATATTTCAGAGATATATGGTGTAAATTTAATTTAGATATTACCCAGACACGTGGTGAGATCAAGAATTTTGTATGGACTTTAGGATATGATTTACGATGCTTCTTGGGACTACAGAGTTTTACTTTAAAGCAGGACTCCTTTTTCTAGCATTGACCCCTTCAAAAGAATGCTTTTCTCCATTAATCCCTTACATTTTTCCTTATAATATACAGCTGTAAATTAGGATACACTTTTAATTTTCTTCTGTATTTATTTTTCAAATAGAGCATGGAAGAAAATCCTTATTCACACAAATAAATTGTGCAAAAAGGCAGTAAAAATATGATAACTTTATTTGAAATGCCTTTTAATTCTCTTTTTTGCTCAGCCGAAAGTTAACAAGTGTGTTATTTTTGAAATTTTTGGTTAGAGTTCGATCACAGGAAATTTTTATCAAAGAGATGTAAAAATTGTTTTAATAAATCAACACACTTCTATGACTCAAAGCTGTATGACTTTAGGACTGTAAGTAAATTTCCTCAGCTTTACAAAAATACTGCATCACTGATCCAACACGAACTGAAAAATGTGGTAAAAAGCATAAAACTGATAATACTGTAGTCTTGATTAGGAAGACGACAGAAAACCTTCAATTTAAAAGTTTCAATCTACACAAAAAGGCTATCTCATTCAATGTCCATGCTTCTATAATTTGATAGCTAATTTCTCAAAGGCAGTCATAAATGCTGTTTGATCTCATAAAAATCAACTTTTAAAAACCAGATTAAAAAAAAAAAAAAAAAAAAAAAAAAAAAACTGAAAGGTTTCAAGTTTTAAATTACGTTTAAAGGGGCATTTTTTTAAATGTTTTGTGTGTTACCTTTATTTATTAAATACCATGTTCTTTGTACTTAAACCATAAAATTCAGTTCAATAGCAATGTCGAAAAATAATTTTAAAATGAGCATATCTTTAGAATTTACGATACACAGTTTCACGCGCTGGAGATAAAAAGTTTTTTTTTTTTTTTCTGCGCAAAGTGTTGTTGCCATTGCTCGCTTTGAAATCCTTGAGTTTGTTAATCAAAAATTCGTTAAAATTTTACAAAATATGAAATCGATAATAAAACAAGATCCAAATTTCAAATTTGGTCTTACACATGCCATATTCGTAGGAGGATTACTTCATTCAAAATTCGATGGCTCTATGTACCATCGAGCAAGAAATCACAATGCAAGAAATTACATACATTTATGCAGATTTTTCATTATTTAATTTCTTCAAATATAATGCAGGATTCTATCATCTGGTGGGAACAATTTGAAAAGTGAAATGGACATTTATTGTGATTCAATGCAAAATCACAAAACAAAAACAATAGTCCTTCAAAAAAATCCAGCATGGAAGTTAAAATGATGATAAACATGACTATTTTGTTCTGATAAGAAATTTTGTTGCAAAGGATTGGGATTCACAACACATAAGGAAATCAGATACAGAAAAGACCTCACCAAACCACATTAACTAGTCTTTAAAACAACCAGAATTTTTTTCTTTTTTGATACTTGACTCCTTGCACTCAATTTAGAATTGAAACTGTACAGAAGACTGATGTTTTTACAAAGAAATAAGATTCTACAACGAAACCTTGCACCATGCCATAAATCTATGAACTTACAAGTGCTTTTTAGATGCACTGAAGAATGTATTTTTGACCTGCATAAAATTCATTGATCTCAACTCTATCCACAATGTTTAGTCAACTGTGAAAAAGTTGAAAACAAAAGACAATTAATCAATAAATCTCTCAACTAATTTCATTAAGGTTTAATTTCATGATGATCAAATGAAACAGATGTGTGAAATCTATGCTAAAATACATGGAACAAAACATTTCTTTAAAATTATAGTTTTAAATGATGTATTCATGTTAATTTGAACTGTATTATAAGTTACAATTTATTTAATTTCTTAAATGCTATTGCTTCAGAAAATTCTATGTTAAATTATTTATTTTACATTTGACTACAGTGGCATAAATACTCACTGTTTTCACCTCATTTTCCCTTGACTACAATCCATAATAGAGGAAGTCAATTAAAAGGAAGCATAACAAAACTGAAATAATAAACAAAATATTCATAATCAACTTTTAATTTCAAATAGAAATTTGATATTATTACAAAGCAGCCAAATATTTAATATAACAGCTACTGGAAGTAGACATATATCCTAATAACTGCAAGCTATTTTTTTGTTATGAATTTTTACAGAAATATTTCTCATTTGGAATAAAGTAAATACTACAAACATTTCCTAAAGGTATAATAAAAGTAGATAAAAATAATATTTTAACATAGATTTGTATTATATTAGACAGAGGAGTTTCATTAAAGTAATACCTTCTTAAAAGCAAGTTGCATATTAATAATATTACAAGATTAAAAAAGATCTAGGGAGGCAAATTTGTTAAAAATGTTTTTTGCACAGCAAAATAATGTAGAATAATATGAGCAAGACTTTAAATAATTAACTATGCTAAGCATAAATATTTTAAGAGAAGCATACAGTTGCACAATAACATTTTAAACAACAAAATATTTTAATCAACAAAGCAAAGGTTTTGTAAAAAAACCATGTGCAGTAAAATTAATTATTTTCTTTTTCAATTCGTGCAACACTGTTCAATAAATCTGGAAATATATAGTTTAACCAACAATTAGCTCTTTTGCAGTAAACAGTAATATTACTAGTGCTTGAAAATAAAATACAAAAAATATAACACTGTAAATCTAGATCAAAAGTTAAAAAACTAGAGCATATTTACATATGATATTTATATATAATATATGTATGTATAAAAAACCAGCAGTTTTGTGGAGAGCTGTACACATACAGTTGGTGAGAACTTAGAACAGTTATCCTTCAGAAAAGTTTCAGCTCTTTTATAGAAAGTAGAAACCATTCATGGACTTCAGTTTATTTAGTTATGTGCATCCTCTTTGCTTTTCTTCCTGCTTTACCATGAAACATAACTTGAAATAAGAGGATTCAGAAAGTAACAATAAATTTTAAAATTATTTGCCCTGAATTTGGTCCTTCTGAAATAATTCGAAATTAATATTTTCAGGAAAGCAAAAACTGACACAAATTTTTCTCTAATGTATAAGCACTGAAAAACAAGTATCTGATAATTAATTATGATAAAATAGGATGATGTATAAATTACTGAGGTAAAAATGAAGCAAAGAGGATGCACTCTTATGATATTATCTTTACAATTAACAAACTGTACCGGACAACAGTTCACATACAAAAAGATGGGATAGACAGCAGTGAAGTATACATAGACCTTTGGCTAGCCAACTCAGTGGCCAGTATTCTGAGTCCTGAGAACTGCATTTTTGCATTGTATAGTGGAGCATATCTTATTACTTCTATCACGAATGGACCATTTTACAGATGAAGTTAACTGTTTTTAGAGTTCATGTATAGCTATTGGTCACAGGATCTGATTCACACAGGTACTTCCCTAAAATAAAGACAATATATAATTTCAACATAATAATAAGTAAAGCAATTATATAAAATAGAAAGTGAAAGAGCGAAATCATTATCTCATCATGCAACCCATCATTTTGTGTGTTTAAAAAGTATATATAAAAAGATAGCATTATAGTGTTCTGGGATAAGCAGGATACATGCAAGGCTGGCTTCTTTAGAGTTTCATACTGACATTATTACATGCGAATTTTTAATAGAACAACATGGATTGTAAAAGTTCATTTTCAAAAACATTTGTATATGAGCAGTGGCAATTTAAATGAAAATATCTTGAATTGCCTATGCCAAACAAACCAACTGAACCATTTTCGGAAGACCACAGGTGTTAATGAAAATATTCATGTTCAGGTTTATTTCATTATGCCAAAGCACACGAGGGCTATCTGCCTAAGGAAAGGAATGCCTTTGTGGAGGACTTGCTAAGGGAAACTGGCTCATTTATACATTACAAATAGGGAAAACCACAAAAATGCCCATGCAGGCAGACTGTTCACCTGGAATCGAACTCAGGTCAGAAGTACTAATGCTCAGTGATTTTACCACTTAGCCGCTGGTCAGCATTAAAGAAATGAAGGCAGCAAGGAGGTCTTGTGTAATGGATTCAAAATTAAATGAGATACAGATGGCATTACAATACTTCCCAACTGAAAGTTTACATAAACTAGCAGCACAACTGCAGCCACCTTATGAATGCACACTGTGTACTAGAACTCAACAAACTAAAAGCTTTCAACAGGGTTCATATACATTTCTGCACATGAAATTAAATATTTTCCATGAAAAAAAAAAAAAAAAAAATTAAGAACCTGTCAACAAATGGAAAATAAATTAAAGCATTTATCCCTGAACTTCATTTTTATAATACCACTCAAAAAGTAAAACAGATCTGTATGCAGAATGCATTATTACTAAATACAATCTAACACTTAACATAATAATAAAACAAGTTCGAGAATGAAACAAATTCATATGTTTTATCAAGTAATTATCACTAAATTACAAGATTTCTTCAAATGTTTGTATTTTGCACTTATAATTGTCCTATGTATTTCAAAGAAGATTCCTGACATTTTATTTAAGTTTACTAAGAATTAGCTTTATGTTGAATCTTTCTTTTATACATTGTACTTGCTCAGTCCAGAGGTCAAGTGGCATATATTAAAATTAGAAAGCCTGGTGGTCATATGAAATGACCGCTATTCTAGATATTACAAATTGTAATTAAAATGATTTGTGCAAAGGTGTCTACTAATTCAAACTGAATTACCCAGGGCAGGTGGCGAGGAAACCCCTTTGCTTACTGCCCCACAGGGTTTCCCCCTTCCACTTGCTTAATTGCTTAAAGTAGAATGCAATGAAGGATACCACTGGCGATACATTTCTTAAGAGCCACCGCTAGCTCAATAAATAAGGTGGTTTAAATAATAAAATGTTAATTCACATGTCAAAGATTTCTTTCTACACAACATTTCTTGCGTAGAACTTTCCACCATTTTTCAGCTCGCCTTGCAGAGGCACCATCCAATTATTTTAATTCCACGTCCGTTCTTTCACGAACTCTTAAACAGGCAACATATAAAGTTGACCGTGTCCAAATCCAGGCTCAGATAAAAAAAAAATGCCAACATGCTTGAAGCGTTTGGCCCTGAGACTTATTGAATGGTCACAGCAAAGGTCTCAGTTTCTACAGGAAATTGAAATGGCAACCTTGTGCCATGGCAACTTCACCCCATTGGCTAGTACAGTTACGCAAGCAACCAATAAACTATTGGCGACAAACAGACACTTAAGATGCATATAATAAAGATATTTATTTCATTTTATTTGTTTTTCATCATTGCCGGTTGCGTATTTCTGAATTCTATTATATATAGATGTTAAATTTATTTATTAAATGTTAAATGCACGTGCTCTTGTATTTTTAATTTTTCCGGCTTAGCTTTCTCATAATATTCGTCACACGCTGCACTGCACAGGAAATAAAACAATTTACAGTTACACAAGCAATCAATAAACTATCGGCGACAAACTCTTAAGCCGCATATATATATGATGAGGAGTAAAATCATAATCATCATTATTTGTAACAGAAACTTGGCTGTTCCAACTGCTGCTATTTGCTTAGAGAAAGAAAAAGACAGAGGTACTTACTAATCAGGACAAATATGAACACCTAATGTTGGAAAAGCTGGTAAGTGCTGAAAGTCAGTTACGTGTGTTTAACCCAGTTAGTTTGGTAGTTTTGGTGTAAAATTACTGAAGTTGTAACCCAGTTAATATACTAAAAAGTTCCAATAAGTCACTGAAACATCAGTAGTATTTCAACGGTTTTGTACTATTTTAATCTTACTAGCAGTAAGGAATAATGTTTAATGTTAATTTTTTACACATTTATGCTGTACAATGGCTTACAACAACGATTAAGGAAAGGCACAACTTGCCTTAATATAAAGACATAACTTTTAAAGGTACAGTTAGTTATAAAATTAGGTAGTTAGAGACCTTTGTCATTATAGATTTATATGGTATAACTATTGTTTTTTATTCAAAACATATTTGTAAAAAAAGCACTATTAATTTAATATCACAATTTAAAATATCTTACAAATTAAAATTACAGATAATTACACATTTAATTTATGACATAGAAAATTTCGTAGCAACAACACACAACAAAATACACTCTTTTGCAAAAAAATTGAAGCGCCAAGAAGGACTTTTGCAATAGCGATGAAATTTTTATGCAAAAACATCTTGATCGAACATGCAAATGATCAAATTTTCAAGGCAAATAAACAGGAATTGCGATCATAGCATGCATTTCTAGTGCACAATTCGTAAAATATAAAACCAGTAACAGATGCGGAAAATTTATCTTTTTTGTTGTTGCCATTGACATTCCATAAAGAAGCAACTACAGATGCCATTTTTAGGATATCCAAGGCCTTACAGACAACTAAACGACTACAAACGTGGTCGCATTGTAGGCTTGCGTGAAGATGGGTGGTAATACCAAGCAATAGGCCGACAGTTCCAGTATACAGACACTACTGTGCAAAGATGTTGGCAGCCATGGTAGGTACAAGGAAATTGCCGATGAAATGAAGGCTCTGGAAGGCCAAGGAGCACAAAGGAGAAAGACAGGATGATTGTTTGCCAGGCTTGAACCACCCCAACAATATCATTGTTGACTATTCAATGCATTACAGCCATGTCTATACCTCCCGTGATACCGTCTGCCATCACACGACGCTTGTCAGATTCAGGGTTACGCTCACAGAGGCCTTTAAGACGTTTGCCTTTGACCCCACAACATCGGAAGAGTCGTCTGGAGCGGTGTCACAGTCGATCATCATGGCTGCCATCAGACTGGCATCATATAGTATTATGCGATGAATCCCACTTCACTCTTGAAGCACAGGACCACTGTGTTTGTGTCGCGAGAGAACGGGGCCAGCGGTCCCAATCAGCCTCTGTTTTACAAAGGCATACAGCCATAACCTCTAGTGTGATGGTGTGGGCACTGTTTCTTATGACAGCAGGTCATCTTTAGTCATCCTCCGTACATCTTTAACAGCTCAACGATATGTTGATACCATCTTGCAACCGGTTACATTACCCTTCATGTTACGTCATCCTGGGGCCGTTTTTGAACAAGATAATGCCAGGCTACATACCACTCGCATATCTCTGGACTGTCTCCGTTCAGTTGATACTCTTTCCTTGGCCAGCAAGGTCACCAGACCTTTCACCAATCAAACATGTCTGGGGCATGGCAGGCTGCCAGATTCAGGCAGAACAAAATATTACAGATCTGGAGTTATAACTGATGAATGCCTGGCAGCATGTGTAGCAGGATGACATTAGGAACCTCTACCATCCCTTGCGTCGATGAATTTAAGCATGCATTGCCGCAAGCAGCAGTTTGACCAACTACTAATTTGAAGACTCAATGGGTGATTGTGAGGCGTGAACAAGTACTATGACCTTGATTTTGCAATCATTTTATTATTTTTGTAAGAGCTACACACATATTCAATTTCATGAAAAACAACCACTTCCTTCACGGTGCTTCGATTTCCCCCCCCCCCAAAAGAGTGTATTTATGCATCTTTTTAATTTGAAAATTTCCAGATATTTTAGTTAATTTATATCAACTTCCTTCTCTTTAGCAACTTTTCTATGTTTATTTGCTCTAATAAACAGATAAATGTAACCCCTAGTCTTTGCTTCAGCTCTTAGTTTGTTAATGTGCCAACCAATATATCTTTGAAAAACAATTTTCTTTCTTTTTAAGTAATCAATTTCTTCCAAAATAAGTTTCCTCTTTATTTTAGAATTTTCAGATTTAATTAAAGATTTCTATTATTCTAAACTTCATGCATGTAGAAGAAACTGCTAATTTAACTTCTTTAACTGTAAGAGCATTAGAATAAACATGAAATGATATATGATAAAGACTGACACCAGAGAAGTGTGCCAGAGTTTTTAGGGCTGGCAAAAATTTTAGAATTAAAGATCTACAGTTTATTAAACCAGGTGTCAAACTGTTTAGCCTTGACTTCTTATATGCACTGAGACATACAAGATGAATCTTTTAAATTGTCAGTTTTCAATTTCATTGTTATTAGAAAAATTCCTTTCTAAAGATACCTTTTCACATGACAAGATTAGAATCATTTTTGAAACTTTCCATGCTTGTGTCTAATGAAAAGAAGAAAAAATAAAGTGATGATAAACATGTTAAGAGAAAGACTTCTAGGATCAAAAGTACAAGATTTAAATGAATTTGTTTCCACTGTTCTCTGAAAAAATTCTCCAAAAAATAAGAAATTCATCACATATTCCCTGTAAAACATATTTATTATGTGTTAATACCATGAAGGAATTTTTCATTTTGCCATGTTTTATGGAATCAAACATCTGTAAATATTTTGCCTTCAAATCCTTCTAAGCTTTCCAATGTGC